TCTCTCCGACGCTTTCCGTAAGCTGGGGTTTGCTGAGAGTACAAACCTTTCCCTCACAGGAGGGGCAAAAAGCAGTTTTCTTTCACTGAGGATTTTTTTTTCCTCCTGCATATTTTCTTACAAAGCAAACCAATGCAAGTCTGTAGCGAACGCTTTCCCGGGCTGTAAAATTTCCTGTTATCCACTTATGTTTTCTTTGCAGTGGGATTTAAGGATGCGTCTTCCTTGAGACGAGTAATATGTCATCATTTCGTTGAACTAACAGGCCTGACAGTCTTGTCTCTCCGAGTTAGAGACACCAGTGCTCTGCGCTCGCATTGCTGGTAAAATGATGGTGAAAAAGCCGGGAGAATTAAATAAAAAAAAAAAAAAAAAAAGGCGGGGGGGGAATCTAACTATAAGTAAATTCTTTATTAATTCCTTCCCGTTATTTATCGTGCTGCAAAAATAAACTCTTTATATTGAAAAAGAACCCTTAATTTAATGTCTCTCTTGCTTTTGCTACATTTTGAAATAACTTATTTGAATCCTTGGATTATCCATTTTAACAAATCTAATCTTCTGTATTCATCATTTCTCATGTCTTTTTGATCTTTTTTCCCCACTTATCATGTTCTTTATTTGAAACAGATTTTTAACAGATAATCTTGATCGTTATAACAATATCTTGCTTGCATTTTATTCAAATAATTCTTAAAAACAGCTTAAAAAGCCGTTTGGAATAACATCAAGCTCTCCATCAATCAAACGAAAAAATTCCGCTGGCGGTTGTATAAACATCAGATCAACTCTGATGTCTTCAAGGATTTCAGAGCGAACCATAAAAAACTCCATTAACTTCTGACAAAGAATGCAAATTAATCACAACATGGGGTGAAATGAAATTAAAGGCTCTTTTCTAATCAATGACAAGGCAGGATGAAATATTCGTTACTCTCCGCGTTCCGGCTGCCGGGACGCTCGCGCTTTTTCTCCGCGCATCCCGCCGGCGCGGCGCGAGCGCGGATTCACGCGGGGTAGCCGTTTCGCCCTCCCCACCCCTACAGCTATCTGCTTACAAGTCGCCCAGATTCACCAAACACACTAATCATCCGAATCTCAGGTGCATCCAATTTGTTATTCGCACTCTCCCGGTGCCAGCGAAAAGCCTGGCGTAGACAGATGCACCGGGAACCTTAAATGACAGTTTTGGCCTCCGGAAGTGCGATCGCTACAGCAAAATCTAGTACAGCCTCCAGGTGAAATGTCTGGAGCTCCATATGGAGCAGGGAAAATTAACAACAAGATGAAAATCGCTGTAGCAGCGGGGAGGCGGAATTTAAAAAAAAAAAAAGGGGGGGGGGGAATCTAAAGATGAGGAAAGAGAAGTAATAAATTAATGGGGTGTGAAAACATTCAAAGCTTTACAATACCAGGGGCAGTATTTGCTCAGATTTGGGGGGGAAGCAGTGGGCTGGGAGGGTGTGGAAGGGGGAACAGGATTTTTTTCTTTTTCTTTTTTTTGTTGTTGTGTTTTGTTTCTTTTTTTTTTTTTCTTTTTTTTTTTTTTTTTTAAACTTCAGGTCATTTTCATGTAATTTATTAAGCGAGGCCTGGCATTGCAGGCAAAGGAAGGAAAACATTTCCCTGAATGCAAAAGTATCTTAAATACAGTCGTCGTAACCTGCACTTTCCTATAGCTGATTAAATCCTCGGCAGCTGAGTACTGCCTGCTCCTTTGGAATATTTCCCTAATGGATGCGGCGTCCTTTTAACATCCTGCTTTGTATAAAGTTCGACTACAAGCCGAGAATATTTAGTGGGCAATTCTTTTCATTTCTTCCAAATTGCATTATCATTAAACAATTCATTGCCCCCATCGTGTTTTTATACGACATGCGGCATTTGAATCTACGTGATTAACTGTACGTCGCGCCGTTTGTTCAGCCACGGCACATCTTTGGGGTTCCAACTTAAAATTTAATGTACTGTGAGGTGCCGCGGCCTTTTGGTTTTTTTGTTTGCTTGGGGTTTTTTTTCCCCCAGTTCTTTCTGCACAGACACGTCAAATCAAAATCACATAAATTAAGGCTAAACTTTTAAAAGAAATTTGAAACTTATTTTCCCTATGTGCCTCCTCCAGATACTTAAAAAGCTGGATGGACTATGGACTAGCAACCAGGTTTGGCGAAAGGGGTTTCCTTCCTTTTTAAAATATTTACATAGCAAAGACCTTTATTCAACAGAGCCTGGGTCTCATGCGCGCGCACGCAACTTTCCTATCGGTTTTAATAAGAGTTACGCAAACGCATCGGGGAAGAACGTACCCCTCAGCGCTTCGCCTCGGCGCGGGAGCCGAGGAGCGCCATACCCTGCCACTCCCAGCAGGAGCTTGACTCCACCGCCAGCGCGCCGCAGCTCGTTGCGATACCGCGCCAGCAAAACGAACAACAAACCAATGAAGACCGTAACACGTCCAGAAACGCGCTACATTTTAAGGATTAGACTTCCCTGTGCAGAAGTTTTTATAGGGGAAAAGCCTGTTCTTTACTATTTGTTGTTCCCTTGCTCAGATTGCTGCCTTTGGCAGTCAGCTGCAGATTATGAAGTTAGCTGCACATCAAGAAAAAAAGAATTTACAGTAACTCTAAACACACCCATAAGCAACTTTACTTACATGAGTAGTTGCTCGCATGCCTAAGCGCTTTCAAGGTAAGACTTTATTGTGAACGTAAGATTAATGATGGTCGTGTGATGAATAAGCGTTAGCAAAATAAATACTTATAAAACACGTGAAAAATTAGAAGTGATAAGTTCTATCATTAGAATATTCTACTAAAGGCCAGAAAAAAAAAAATCATCCTTTAGTCTTACTGGCATATTGCAGGAGTCCTGAATTTCCACACTGCAATGATTCCCTCTATAAATCTTATTCATTTAAACTGAATTTACACACACCATTTGTCTGTGTCTTAAAAATAGAGAAAAAGGAAAAAAACGTTTTTTTTTCCCAAGCTACAGCTGGAGACAAACATTCACGTGCAGAAAATTTCAGATGTTCTCAAACACGTATTCATACTTTCCACATTCAGAGAGAAGTAACTTCAAATTATTGAGGGGCAAATTCTGCAAGCGCACCTACGATTAGCTTCATTTGTTTGAATAAGCCCACTGAAGTGAGGAGGATTTACTCATGTGGCTGACTGCAGAATCAGGCCCTTACGTCGGAAGGTAAATAGATATTTAGACATTAAAAAAATCCAACCGACTAATTAGCCCCCTAATCAGAGTGAGTTGCTAAGGGTTCTTGTGACCAGCTAGGTAAGTACATGTCTAAAATACATATTCTTCACATAAGAATCCTTATGAAAAGCAGTACCTCGAAAAACTTAATAGCTACATTTTAAAGTTGCACCTCCTCAACTGTTTTACATTAAAAAGTATATACAATTTCACGGGCTACTGACTTGCCAAATATTCTTTTACAAACCTGATCCGTATTTTAATTAGAACAGCAAAACGGATCTTAAACTAGCAATCATGTTTTGCTCCCAATTCAGAAAACAAATTTTGGTCTAGAATCATACATAATGTATGAACTCTAACTTCTTTCCCCAAGCTCCAACACTTCTGTGAACAGAGGGTTATCCTAAATTGTATCCCACATCACTTTGATTTAGTGTTATAATACACCATCTACAATGAACACCAAGACGCTTGACGAGCACGAGCGGGTACGCCGATGTATGGAGGACACTTCAACACAAGAGCTTCTTTCCCAATCCCTTCTCAAAGGAGATTGTACATTTTAAAATATGGATAAAATATGCAGGGTATGTTCTGCTAAGCAGTTACAGCTCTCGCTTTCAGTCGGTGAACATTTTCCATAGGAGACGAGAAACTGAAAAATCAGTATATTTCTACATATGCAAAACCTTTGCAAGTCCATAAAAGTGTCAGGAGAATTTGCTTAAAACAGCTTATAAAAATGGGAGAGAGAATGAGTCCCAGCCTATTATTCAATAACCATGTTTGTGAGGCATCTGCATAATCTAACCATGCATAAATTAGTATGTGTATTACAACAGTTATTTGCATAATAATAGCAAGTTAATAGATGCTTAAAGAGCACAGACCAACACCACCTTTAAATCAGACATGCCTCCAGGCACTCTGATCTGTATAGACCAAGATGCAGAAAACACTGTTCATAAAACATAAGAAAACATAAACCCCACATTCAAATAATTCATTTTAGTCCCTGGACACTTCACTTTTTCCCCTCTCCCAGGAAAGAATAATTTGAGGAACTACGGAATAGTTTGTTGCTATGAATTCTAACATGCATCTTGCAATAAGGATTTAAGGTAATCATGAAACCTATTTCTGGATTGGTTGTTTTGTTCAGAGCTTCATGTTTTTTCAAGCATACAGCCAAAGTAAAATATTACGTGGTAATGCAGTGCTCAGAACTGGCCTAACCATTGCCACTGGAGATGGAAATAGTTTTACCACTGACTTCAATGAACCTGAGTTAGGTCAGTGGGAAGTTAGAAAATGCCAGTATCTAAAGAAAATACTCTTAAAAGGGAGAATCCGAAGCTCACTTAAGTATTCCATTCACATTGTATTTTTGATTTGAGAAGATCTGAGACCATTGTGCCATTATTCAAAACTGAAGTTTACAATGAAAATATAAAAAAGGGGTAGACGCACCTTCCCACTTCAAAAGCACTGTTGTACATACTGGATTATTTTTTAATCTCAAAACAAAACAATCATTAACATCATCGTAATTTTCCTTCTCTCCAGGGAAAGAAAATCTAGAGTTTGGAGAAGGGAAAAAGAGGGGAGGGGTGGAAATCAATAGAGACTTCTAAATGACTCCTTCAAGATACCACTTTTCAATTTAACAGGACAGATTTATTTGTATGTGGCTCAAATGTTCACAATTGCTCTCTGCACCTTCATACATAGGAATGAATGTCACAGTGGCAAACAGCAGTAATGAACAATCTTACCTGAGGATATGGAAACCTCCCAAGAGCAAGCTGGGAAAGGAAATAATATTTGTCTAGTTATATAGATTTGCATGGAGGGCACATTTTCTTAAAGAGAGAAAAGTACTCAACTCTTACTATTGTATAAATTGGAAAATGTCAGCAAAAGTAATTCTGAAAACACACAAAGAGCTGTATTTAGAATGGACTCATTCACAACAACTACCCCTTGTTCTATGTTTCTGAGTATTTCTGTATTTCTCAGCCTCTTTTGTCTGTACCACTCCGTAACACTGTTTGATGCCCAAGTTCCTGAGGACTCTCTAAATTAAACCAGTTCAGCCTCAATAGCGAGGCCAACGACACTGACCTTTACTGATAATTATCTGCAATGAACAGGTATTGTAGACGTGCACTGAACTCCCAAAGTCCTTCCTTAACTGGCTCAGAGTAGAATCTGGGTTATACAGCTGAGGTTTGCTTCCTTATCAGTGTCAAACCCAGCAAGGAACCTGTGAGTGGGATCTGGAGAGAGATTATGGCACCCGCAAAAAGAAAATATCTTTTCTTCAGATATACTTGCAGTTGCACGCAGTATCAACTGGGTTTGTCGCCCACACTGTTCTAGAAGTCAATTGATGCATCACTAGAGTATCTGCTAGTATCAGTATTAGACCCAACAGCAATACTACTGTTGCCATAGCTAATAAATATTCCATGATAAGTTCTCTGTACAAGACTTCAGGTTCTCCCATTTGGCATCTGAACCTTGGAAACAATTTCAGCAAAATACAGCTAGTTCAAGTTATTTTGTCTACTACTCAGTGAAGGACAAGGGTGTTCAGAGTTAACACAGACTCCTCCAAAAGGGCATTCAGAGCAGCTCTGTTCTGACCTGCTTTCTGGATAAGCCCACCTCCCTCCACGGTTCACAGAAGAGCCATAGTCCGATGAGCTTCTCTACACTCTGGTTAACCTTCACGAATCCTCCCCTTACCAACCTTCAGAAGGAGGTCTACCAAAAAGGTTATGGATGTGCTACTGTCATTAATTTGTCTGCGTGATAAACTAGGTATATTCACAACAGGCTGAGTAACAGCATCAATGCTGAAAGTCTAACCTGTCGTGCCATGTACGGCAAAGGCTAAACCACACGTCGGTGCTGGGCAAAAGCTGTTTCACGGCACCTGTATTGCCACGGATATTTGAGCTCCTCAGCGCCGTGGTTACTTGACCTAGCCAGATTGCAGCTGAGGCAGCTCTGCTAACCAACGATGAAATTTCAGCCTGGCTGGCAGCACAAAACTATCCTAAGTAGCAACAATAAGGCATAAACAGCTGTAGCAAGGTGGGGAACTGATGGGGCAAAGACCAGTCACCATACTGGAGCCTCACCAGTTCAGGAAAAAGGTCATGAGAAGGAAGTAAGAAGAAGCTGACAGCATGAGTGGAAGCAACCAGAAAACAGCAGAGATGGTGCCCTTTCTGCAATTCCAGCTGCCGTCCAAACCTAGTATTGTACCAGCAACCCAGCTGCGAGCCTTCGCAAATACAGTGAACAACTTCCAGACCCTCAGAGGAAAGACATCACAAAAGCACAGTAGGTCTTGAAGCGTTTGCTTCAAGAGAGGCACGCAAGAGAAACCCAAAGAGATGAAACAATTTTTTTTTTGTGACTAGTCTTAAAAGAAGCTTTTGTAATATTCAGATAGTATTCGTCCTGAAAATCTACAGATATATCGAGTGGGTTCTAGAGGGGCTACTTGATTTGTACAGTATTTTTGAATGCTTACTTAACTGCCCAGTCATCAGAGTTACAGGAACTGTGTATCTAAATTTCCATGCATCACTGAAAAATCACCCCAATCTTTCCTAAGTATCTCATTGGTGGGAGTTTGCGTAATGACTGAAGAGGAGCCATTACGGTCTGCTGTAGCACTTTGGTGTTGACCAAGAATCCCTACTAGCAGTAACACGTGCAGTTTTTCTGAGACGTTTCTATTGTGCCACTCATCTCTCTGAACATTATAGTCTGCCTGCAGACTTCCATTTGGGGGTCATTATGTTTGCTTGGTTTGTCAGACCAACACTACAGAATGTAAAAGAAATCAGGCTTACAAGAGACACTGGAACAGGGAACAACATTAAGGTGACAAGACAAGTAAGATCTCTTCAGGTTCTCCAACGTGATACAATTTAAGCTAGCTTCCTCCTCTGGGTTTCTTCCGTGCTTTGTCTTCCAGGTTTGCCTTTAAGACCCAACTCTGTGGGTGAATCTGCCTTTCAGTCCTGTTTCTGCTGCAGCGCTGAGCGCAGTGGCTCTTCTTTGCAGCAAATTCATCCTCCTAACAAACCAACCCGAGCTAAGCAGGCTTGATCGCCATCCTTTCTATCACTTGTGTCTGCTTCACAGCTTCTCCCAGGACAGAGTGCCACTCCAGTCACTCTTGATGGCAGGCTTTGAAATACACTGCTAAATAGTTAAGCAAAGATCCTACGTTTTCTGTTACACTCAATCTTAAGGACCAGGAGCTACTAAAACATACCCTTTTTCATCTTCTCTTCTTTTGGGAGGACCATCCTTAACTTCCAAGAAGCCGCCTGAGATCCTAAGCAGCACTGCTTAGCCTATACATACCTAGAAATAAGCCTATAAATGCCAAACACTTTTCCATGAACAGCAGTAAAAGAAATCCTGATTTTTCCAATGACTACTGACTTAAGAATAGTCATTACAATAGCTACAGACTTGTAGGAACGTAACAGTTATCCCACTGTAGAACAAGAAGATAATTACAGCTACATGCACAGGGCATCATTCTGCAGATCTTATTTAAGCAGAAAAACAACCACTGCCTCGATGACGACTTCAAACTAAGCATTTCCATTCTCACTGACAGTTCCTCTCCCTGACCACCACACGCCTCAGCAGGGGCTCCAAAGGCAGCAGAATAATTGGGGAAAGAGCCATTTTCTGCCAGCCGTAAGTACGGGGTGTATAAATGAGCTCTGAAGAATCCAAAATGCATCAGGAACAAGTTCTTCGGGGGTTGTGAAAAAAGAAACACGTTTCTCAGTGAAGCTGCTCCTTGACTGCGAACTGCACAGCAATACAGCCATGGACAGACCGCGTGCCAGTTCAGCATCCCCCTCAACCGCCACTCGATTCATCCAGTCAGAGTTGTTTCCTCCCTGCAAGATTGTCAAGGTATTATAAATTAAGAAACTTAGCAAAGAGTATGTAATCTTCCCTGAAATAGCCTGCAGATATGTCACTGTACTAAATGTGTTTCAGATTTAATGAAGCTTTAATGTCCTTTTTAATTTTGCCTGTTTCTCTATCACCAGGGGTCGAGCAAGGCAATCAGCACTCAAGAGGGTGGTTTGGTTTAAAACTAGGAAAAACTCATTTGCTTATGAGTTGCACTGTATTTTCTTAATTAAATTTACTAAGTAAAATGGTTTAAGTTCAGCCAACCAATGACCTCTCTATGTAGATTTAGATTTATAAATAGCGTCACAGTTAAAGGAAAAAAAAAAACTTCAAAAACAAACAGATTAGAGCTTCACTAAGGGGATTTTCATACTCTTATCATCTGTCTCAAGGAAATCATATAAACATATGCAGCACAGGCCCAGTGCAGGATACAAAAAAAAAGTAAACTACCAAATTAACACACTATCAAAAACTTATCTCCTCCACATTTACATCATGAAACTCAGTAACTCGCAATTTCATTTTTAAGGCATTATAACAAAAATACCGTATTTCCATTCACGGTAGTTAGGTTTGGGAACTGATCAGTATTTTACGTAGCTCTGGGTATTAAGGAGGGGAGAAGGGAATGCTTAAACTTCAAGGAGCTGGTTCTCTTTTCCCTATGGGTACCTTCCCACTGTACAACTGTAAAAAAAAAACCAAAAACACCATCATTTCAAAAAGGCCCAGTGTCCAGAGGTCGTGTCCTGAAAAATAATGTGCACTCCTAAGTGCGAGTACCTGGCAGGGTCATTCCCTTAGCTGTGGACAGAGGTGCAGATGGATGTACGGGGTGCGCCATCAGATTTTAAAACAATAACTGACAAACTATGAAGTCATTCCAAATTATTAATTGCAAGGCAGAGGTACGGAGTGCATGTACGCCGATTTTTATAAAAATATATCAAAATACGCTAAAAAGCACCCCCCAACCTCCGGGAAAGCAAAAAGAACATCAGGCAGGCAGCGGGAAGCAACTCGAACCCCTTCTCAAATACGCACATTTAATGGGCGGATGCATGAAGACAAAATTAAAATGACTCGCTGAAATAAGGTAATTAATAATTTTGGAACTGAAAACGGAAATCCCGAAATCCTCACTAACGAAGCGCTTGCTTTACGTTGCTCTTTTTAAATGTTCCTCGCCTGCCTGTATATTGTTAATAAGAATTACAATAGCAGCCTGGCCCTTACCCTGTTCAGAAAGTGACTGAGGGAAGGAAGTTGAAAACATATTTTCAATACACTCAGGCAATAAAGTCTCCCACTTAGATTATTGTCTATGTTGTGCAAGTTGTTTTTTAATTTACAGTTATACTGAAAAACATGGGATGTTTTTATTCTTAATTTAGACACATTCCATGTTTCTCAGCATAACTGCAAATTGAAAATAAGCACTTACAATATCGCTAGTGATCTAGCTGAAGGAGGACTTTATAGTCTGAAATGTTCTAAAATTTGTTCTTAATTACCTTGTGCACATTTTACACAATTAAATTTCCATCTAAGGATTTTGCATTTAGATTGTGCTCTGCAGTTAAACCCTCATTTTATGGAAAAGCAGCCGCCACTTCGGAACGTTCAGACACAGGAAACTTTAAAAATCAGACTTAACTACTGGATAACATAAAATTCCCCAGGTGAAATTTCATTCCAAGACCAATTTATACACTCCTAGATAGATGGCTTAAAATCACCTGAAAATCTGCAGGGTACGGACCTTAATAAATATTAAATACCTCAAAAACTACTCTAAGATTTTTCTTTCATTCTAGTATCTATTTCACTGTCC